CAGAGCAGATAGAGTGCTATTCACTCCTTTAAAGACGTGTCCATCTTATGATATTCTCCGGCAACACAATTAAATTGGACATATTCCAGAGCAGATCGAGTGCTATTCACCCCTTTAAAGACCGTGTCCATCTTCTGATATTCTCCGGCAACACAATTAAATTGGACATATTCCAAAGCAGATCGAGTGCCATTCACTCCTTTAAAGACCGTATCCATCTTCTGATATTCTCCGGCAACACAATTAAATTGGACATATTCCAAAGCAGATCGAGTGCCATTCACTCCTTTAAAGACCGTATCCATCTTCTGATATTCTCCGGCAACACAATTAGATATATGAAGAGAAGGTGATAAATACTCAAGAAGATGATTTTCCGTGAAAATTTTGTCTTCTCTACATCTCTCGAGGCGAAGGGTCTACAAATATTGATGTATATTCTGCTTCAGTGCCTTTTCTACGTACAAAACAAATTCTTCGGTGGGAGCAATCTTCCATTTAATTCATGCCCCTCATCAGGCGGGTTCCTCTGCATAATTCCGTCTCTGGAAGCTGTTACATGTCCAAATGAGACACAAAAATCTAATACACCGCTGTCCAAAAAGTATCCGACTTTATTTTTTTCGCTGTAAGTAATGGCCACAGGGGTGGGGAAACTGAGCGTAGTAGTAGAAGGGACTTTCATGCGCATGCGTGATTTTTTGCTGACTCGCAACACTGCCGGATGCGTCTGTGGCTGCCAGATAGCGAAATGGTGTAACACGTGCTCGTCGCATTCTCGTTTCGCTCAAGATGACAGAACACTTGGAGCAGCGATACTGCATCAAGTGTTACGTCTTTCTTTAGAACCACCTTTTTGAAACTGACATGATTATTACTTTGAATGTATTTTAAAGATTTATATATTTCTGTCATCGAAGAAGATACTTCTGAATAAAAGTTTGGGCTTTCTTTTGTTATCGCCATAGCGAGTGTCTCACTTCAAAACTTTACATTTTTCCTTCTGCTCTTGCAGAACCAAATTGTTCTTCTCCTTTGGATATTTCTTTAAAAAAGTAGTTCTTGGAAATTTTGAGTAGCCATTTTTTTCCCCTTTTTTCTCTCTCTTCTAACTTTTCTACAGTGAAAATAATTTAAGAAAATGTACACCATATACTGGTCCCTTCGTCTTCTTAAGCGTTAAGTCCTTACTACTGAGAATAAACCGGTTTATGTGACACTTTTTAATCTTGCAACCAAGGTTATGGCCTTATGAATATTTCATACTTAGCTCCTTACGCCTTGTCTTGAATTAATGCTCAGGATAATACAGGGTATATATGCCCTAAATGTTTAATACTGTTTAAGGTATCGATCCGAAATATTACAGATCGTTATGACGGATATCAAATTGAAAGATGTTTGCAATGAAATAAGGAAGTGACGAGCTGGCTGGACGCTGGAGGGGTAGGAGTTAGAATCCTGGTAGGGTCAAGAATTTTATGTTCTCTACTGTGTCCAGACCGTCCCTGGGGCCCACCCAGCCTCCTATCCAATTGGTACCGGGGGCTCTTCCCCTGGGGGTAAAGCGGCAGGGACATGAAGCTGACCACTCACCTCCAACTAGTACTGAGGACAAGAAAATGTGGATTTGTATATATTCACTTTCCCATACGCCTTCATGGTGTAGTGTTTAATTTGGTGTACTCTTTGGTTGTTGTGTCGGTATGGTGTTGCGACTTATTTTGTTTATGTATGAATTGTTGTGGGTGGCTTGTGGTTCATTGTCTGGCTACAGCGCCTGATGATGACCCACTAAGAGTCGAAACATGTTGTTCCTAATATATACGACCTTATGTAAGTACATCATTAGGCCGCGCCATAGCTCAAGTGGTTAGTCGCTGGCTTCCCACCGCGGCGGCCTGGGTTTGATCGCGAGTCTGGTCAAGTGGGATTTGTGGTGGACAAAGTGGGCTAGGGCAGGTTTTCTCCGAGTTCTTCGGTTCCCCTGCCAATCTTCATTCCACCAATTGCTCCACAGTCACCCTCACCTATTATCTGGGGCTCGTACAATAGGCTTGAAGTGACCGCAGTACAAGGGACTTAGTCCCATCCCACTAGCAATAAAGAAATACATCATTAGGGTGCTTTTTTATAAATTGTTGTGTTGACTGAAATACATAATAAACATTTTTATGCACACAACACAACAGGATTCAACACGTAAAGATTTTCTGCACAGCAAGTTTGCTCAGTCACGAAAAGACACTTTTTTTTTAATCTCGGTCATCTTCGTTTTCATAGCTTTCCTGGAAAATATCATTAACTTTTATTGAAAAATTCAACATAAATTATTGATTTAATGATTGATTTCAGGTGTACAGGAGACGCACCGTGCTGGCAGAATAGCCAGTTTAATCGGAGTTGAAGGTGGCCATTCACTAGGGAACTCACTGGCGGTGCTTAGAACTTTCTACAGCCTTGGAGCTCGTTACATGACAGTCACTCACACCTGCAATACAGCCTGGTGAGTTCTTCAGCCATAATACAAATCAGAGGAACAGATATTAAGACTAAAAGTGCCAAGTATCGATAATTTCGATCTTTACAGAAATTCCTGTATCTGACTGCATGTGACATCTATTGTAATTTTATCTCAACTACATAGTCAAGAAGCATTTGAAGACCTCGCTTCAAGTTTTGTTTATTGTTTATCGATGATAGAGAGCAGATTTGTCGACCTAAAATTGTAGAGTTAAAACTGATACTTCTCTGGTTAAGAGGTAGTCTGAAGTTGAAGTGTTTACATTAAATAAAGAAGACTTCAGTGATTTTGAAATACAGGAAAAAAACTCCGTGACTTAAGTCCGCAAGCAAATAATACCGACCGAGCGACCTCCGCTTGTCGGCGAAGTGCCAACTTTAGCGGATAATGGGTGTCGCGTGGTGATCGCAACGAATCCCCGCGGCCTTTAATTTCGGTTTTCTATACCGGAGCCGCTATTTTTTCATTATAACAGCTCCTCAATTATCCTCACGAGGCTGAGTGAACCCCATTCAAAATCCACTACTTCTCATAAAATCTGGTAGCGCCGGGAATCGAACCCGGGACCTCTGGCTCTGTAGCCAGGAAGTGTGACCACTAGACCACAGAGGTGGTCTTTTTGAAATATGTATTCACGCCAAATTTCTTTTTCCTCGTTTCCTCCCCCACATTTCCTTGTTTTTCTTTCATTCTTTCCCCTATTCCCTTTGTTTCTTACTTCCGTTTGTCTTTTCCCAAGACTTTCTCGTGTTTTCTTCAATCACTCGATCCCAGTAGCAAAGTATTGCCTCTTTCTACGGCTGCATACTTTTCCCTATTCGTTCTTCATGATTATTCTCATACCTCAGTCAATATTATGTAACTTCTCCAGTTGATATAGCTTGTTTAAGTATCATAACTTGTATTAGGGCTTCGGCAGCAATAAGACGAAAAAGTCCTATACTTGACTGAAAGGGACATACTTTGCCACGTACTTTTCATTTTCTTCTGACTTGACACCTCATCCTTGCAGTAAAACTTTGAAGCTTTTCCCAGTCAGGAAAGAACTTACCGAAAGTTCTATTGATAAGAGTGAGCCGAAGGTAAAATATAAGGGTATATTTCCGGGAAACTCATTACGTTTCAACGGTTTTTGATTAAAGACAAAGAGTAGACCGATAATTCTGTCAGCAACTGCTGGAAGGCATGCAGCGCTCCATTATGAGAAAGTTACGTGCCAATGCTTGTGCTGCCCCTTTCTCGCTACTGCTAATATTTCTTGTCCGCTCTTCATTACTTCCGACATTTCTTATCTACTTCTCTTTCTACCACTTTACGAACTTCTGACTTTACAAATATTTCTTCCCACATCAAGATTATGTCCCGTATAAAATTTTAAATTGTCGTGGTGACAAAATGTAATGAAATTTTCTCGAACGAATAAACGCGCCAAAACAAATATTCAAGTTCCCGGAAATTTTATCTGTGCGCCCTACCGGAAACTAATATAAATGGTAAAATTTACCTTCACAGTCGGACTAAGCAACATTGACTTCGGACATCTGTGGAATGATGACCGTTCACCATTCCGTTTGACCTCTTTGTGCAACTAATAAACAAAATACTTACCTAAGAAAGTATTATGACATTTAGACCCGTTGCTAGGCAACGACCGCGAAATAAACAACAATATAACAATCGTTACTAGGCAACGGCCGTAAACAGCGACAGAGGATCAGTGTTTTCTGTGCGGTCCGTGTGAGAATGTTATAAGCGGGACAGGTTAGTACGCATTAAGGAACACAGATATAACCTGACACAAGATCTGCTTGAAAAATCAAAATTAGCCCAACGAGGAAGGCCACAAAATTTGTTAGAATGAAGTGCAGGTCTTGCAGATCGAACCGAACACCACATACACGAAATACAAGGAATGAGCCCACATGTCTCTGCTGGACCATCCGATCAGTCAGCCCAGGGTGGACATCTCTCCCATCTGGACTCCCGTTATCACAGCAGATGTAAAGAGACTGCAACTGCATCAAGTGTAGTTTGAGTGGGGAAATTTGTTTTTCTTTTTTCTCAGAACTTCTTTCTAGTTATATGGAAGGCTTTGAAAATCTATATGGTAAAACATAATATAAACGAATCTCATATTTTGAAATATTGTAAATTAACCTGAATGTCAGCCGCTCTTAATTACGGAGTCGTAATTAGCTGGAATGTCATGTGTTTGTGTGTTTCTGGTTGTGATCCAAGGCTATCCAGAGAATCGTTACTGAAATCTCTATCACAGGAACTCAGTTTCCAAGTCTCTTCCTATCAGTATAAACCCCAAGGCATAGAAGTCTCACTGCGTTACTCGCGGAAAGTAGTAAAACTATATGAAGTTCAGTTCTTTCGTCCAAGAAATTAGAATAACAACATTGTTCCGTCTCTCTCTTTCTCTCCCTCTCTCTCGCTCGCTCTATCTCTCTTGATTTTCTAAGAGAATGTCAGTAACACAAACTATGCTTCCCTCCCAAAGTTTAAAAACATTTGGCTCATGAGGAAAGTTAATAATGCTAGGGGAATTAGGTCATCAAGCAGAATACTCACTGCGGAACTCGTTGGATAGTTGGGCTGATCCGATGAGGAGACGAGACACTTTGGGTTTTGTTCGGGACTTTCATGCATATTCTGAATATTTTGGTACACAATTTTATTTCTTGACTCAAAATTGATATACGCCGTGACACTTATGTAAAATTACCGTAACATACATTGAGAACACAACACAATCTGTCAGTACACTTGTATGGGTGAATATAGACGGGGTTTTGATTTGTGAATAGATTTATTGACCATTTACAGGTCGTAACTACAAATAACTATAACATTGTCGCTATTTCCAAACTTTACAGTTCACTAGAGCACAGTCTAGTGTTTAAGTATGTTACTGGACGTTTCCTGATAACGACTTCAACAATGACTGTTCCTCTACCTCCGGCTGAAGTCCTCTCTTCAAAAACTCCCGTACAGAACACATTATCAACTGACAATTTGTCCCTTGCTAGTAACATCTCGGCACGGACCACATAGAAAACATAGCTCTTCCACTGTTGTAGCCCAACAAAGGCACGGTGTAGGTATTCGAACCCTCCTGAACGCTGGACTAATTGCAACGGCTAATTGGCCATGCTTATAACGTCTCTGCACGGACCGCGTTGAAAACTTCTCTTCCATTATTGCTGCATTCTCTTGTCGTGGAAACATGCTTGTTTGCGGAGCCTTTACTTAGTAAAGACTGTTGTATCGTTGCTTATTTTTCGGGCGTTGCCTAGCTACGGTTGTACATGCTATAATATGAAATAATGTAATGAATAAAAGAAAAACAAAACTCTCTTGCCGGTTGAAGTAGAAAAGAGCAAACCACCGAAATAAAGAGCTTGATACAAATGTTCCGCCATTACGAACAGAGTCATAAAGTGGATATATATATATATATACTGTCAAGTGTCAGTGACTAAGACGGGGGCTTGGATTGACAGTTGGATTTATTCAATACTTACAAGACGTAACTATGAATAATTATTACACTGTTGCTGATTTACACAATTACAATCACTCCACATTTATCTTCTCAGCCTATCTGCAATAGTCTTCACGGGTTTATAACACAGGATCTATAAAAGTCTCCCTAAATCACACACTCCCAATATTACTGTGTTACAGCACATATAGAGTCTTCAAGTCACACGTTAAACCTTCACAGGCTGACTTCTTGTACTCTTCATCTACGAATTTCCCGTGTTTATCTCTTACACAGAAGTCACTTATCCCTGAACCGAACGGATTCTGTCACTTATATAGCCGAGGAACGAACACGCATCACAGGAAACACATGTCACGTGACCACCACCCACTGCTGCGTGACGTCACTGCGGACACGGAAAACGCAGTCTCCCCTATTGTTGCGTGTTGGACCGTGTTTACAGAGCTGTTTCCTGGCAATGCGGTAAATAATTCAAACTGTGATACATCAGAATTACGTTGCGCCCTACTCGTCCCTTATATAGGTGCCTACCTCTGTATTGACTTTACTTTCTGATCTTCCCAAACTTCCTTCCCTTCCAGAAGACTTTAGAGACTTCAAAGAATCTTCCTGAGCCACACATTTATAATATGATTTTGCTTCACACTAAATTACTGTATTATCTGTTCACTCCTCTTTATGTTCTTTCATATTCGCTGTCTTCGTGTCTGCAGGTAATTTCACGGTTGGCTAAACTGTCTGTGCTCAAAATTACATTTTGGATCTTAAGTTTCAATCGGTAAATCCCGTTAAAAATTTTAATAACTTAAAAAAATAGAGAAACCGGTATAGCTCAGTCTGTATAGCGACGAGCTACTGGCTGGATGGCCAGAGTTCGACATTTTTCTCTTCTTCAAAGCGTCCAGACCGACTCTGGCGCCCGCCCTGCCTCCTATCCAATGTGTACCGGGGGCTCTTTCCACATTTTTCAAACAGTCGACTTATGGATAACCGTAAGTTTTGTCAGCCTTACGCGCCGGCCGTCCTTTACCACCAGGAAGATTCCTGGTACTCATTTATGTCACAGGCTGAGTCGACCCCAGAGCCATAGTGCGGCTGGACAGATGAGGTGAATTGAAACATTCAGTGGCCTAATATAAAATTGTTTGCGTTTTAAATGTTCAAAATAATCATTTTAAATTCATATTGCCTGTTCTTTGAAAATGTCTGTTGACGTGAGAGTTGAATTTGTGATATCTACAGAATGGCCACCGAATTCTCCGGACTTAAATACGTCAGATTGCCATGTTTAGAGCGAACTTGAACAGTCACTATATAAAAGATAACAGTTTTAGTCCCTGTAGTTACTTAACAAAGAATTCAGATTCTGTGACCTCTCGTAATATAAGATAACATCCAATCAGCCATCAACAAATGGAAATACGGTCTCAGGCTCTTACATAAGAAAACTGTGATTCTATGCAACACG